TGCGAAAAAATTATAGCGCAACGAAAATAAATTAAATATAATTTATCCTTACGAATTATTTTATATATTAAACGATAAATTTTTTGTTTAAATATTTCGATTAATAACGCAACGGTCATTCGATTCGGAATTACTAAAAATGTCCCAGACACACAGAGTTAATTTAGTAACATGGGCTGATGTGGCGACTCTATTACATTTCGCGTATTTCTGCGTACTCGATAATTGTCTCTAATTAAATTGTCGATGGGTGCCGTTCGATTGGCTCATTTAAAAGCACACTTCCGAATATACAGGCATATTAACATACATACTTGATGTTGACCTGTATGAGAAAAGAGCCCATGCATTCATCATTAATAAAATATTCGATAGCATTTTGCAAATTAAATCGTTGCTAATGGATACGATCGAATTGCTTGTTTCAAAAGTGCTCGTCGGAATAATAAATGATTTAAATACAGTCGTGGATTTTCCGCATTTCGTTATAAATTTTCATCGATAAAAAATTAGTTTCTTTTTAATCAGTATACCAGCTTCATACCGAATCCTTTTAAAAGCATCTTTTCAAACTGCACATATATATATATATATATATATATATATATATATATAATATTAATGACGCGCATTTCTCCAAACTTGTTCGCAAGGTGCAAGTTGAGCTAAAAAGTTGTCGACGTTTCGAATCTCTAATACGCCGGAGAAACGTAAGAAACATCGTTCCGGTTGCCCGAGTTAAACTTAAGTTTCTTATAACGATCGTTCCTTCGTCGGCGACGAAGCAGCAGAGTTTGCAAAAATGATTTGTTCTCGCATTCTCCCCAATGCAAATCTCCTTACACAACGAAAGATTACACGTTCAAATAATTAATCGACCGTGATTGTAATAATTATATTAATGTGAAAATCCCGCGTTAACGAGGGGAAATAAAAACCGCCCATGGATCAATTAGTAAATGAGACTGCTTCGGTTTATGAGAATGAATCAACATTTTAATTGAAAGCTCGATGATTGAAAAATACGAAATAAGAAACGCGGAACGCCAACGCTAAAGAGAATTTACAATTTGATTTGTGATATGGTACATGGGTACGAGATATACACAAAATAAGATTTCTCTCTCGTTCACACATTACGTTATTAAATACATTTCATGATAAAAGCGTTTTAACAAGGGATGTTTTTATGCTTAACTGATGCGCGTCTGTCGTAAAATCCGCGATATAAAATATTTATTGCCTCTGATATAGTAGAAGAGGCAAATAATAACCGCGTCTTAACTTCTCGAACACATCGTAAGCTTGGCCAAATTACCTCTTGAAATGTAAACGTGGCGCGCTAGTTTCTGCGGTGTCTACATCGCCGATCCATAAAAAGATGGAAGAACCATTACGAATAAGTGTGATTGATTATCTTCTAAGCTACATCGTCCTACACGTCGTCGTGACGATGTAGCGGAGTATCGTGTCCCGAGAAACTCGCGATTTTAATTACGAATCCATTAAAATGGATATGTATATGTAAGATGCATTAACGTATTAAGTTTTAAGTAGATTTGAGTAAGTATTACGTTTGTCTCTCGCGCGCTACATATGCATTAGGTCCGCAAAGATTTAACTTTGACATTTGTACATCGACGACGCAATGTGTCGGAATTCCTAATCTGAATTGACGACTAACCACCGGTTAACACGGTATAATTCGTATTGACTTATTAATCTCAAGCATGAATACGACACATTGCAAATTGTGATATGACACGCGATAAGCTCCGCTCTACTTTCTCAGGAACATTTAGCATGACACATATCATCTACTACTTTACTTTGTGTTACTTTATTGTCCGTTAAATGAAGCGAAAATTTTGCATTACGAGCTATCTAACATTTTCCAAGTCGTTGTAACTGTGACATTAAATTATTATGCTTATAAAATTATATATAAAGCTTTACGTTAATATTTTTGCTGTAACAAGCTGCACAGGCTTGTACAAATTTAAACATTGCATCTAATATAAAATTTTGTTGTTATATTAAATGATATTAAAAAAAGATTGAGTGTATTAAAAGATCGCGCATTAGATCGTGTATTAAAAATCCATTTTTAAAATCAACTGTAAATAAATAAACACACATTTTAAAATATTTTATATATAAATATTTATATTGTACAAAATTTTCCATTACATATCAATAATAATATATACAACAACAATATGTAAACTAAACAAGATCTAGAAAAATCCTACATTGCAGTGGTATAAATCAATAATATCGTAGACATGAATGACACAACATAAACTGTATCTTGAATAACGAATGTAGATAATAAATTATTCGAAAAAATGGCACAATATTTATTTGCAAAACAAAAAAATATTATTTATATCAATAAAATATTTATTATAATTACGATTCGTGCTGTACGGGGAAATGGGGGATTTTGTATTAGAAATAAAACTCTCACATGATCGCGGATCATACCTGATGGATCATCGTTTTCGTCTCGAGGGTCTCCGGTGTGACAACGGGAAAACGGCAGAGTTCTCGATCGGCAGGACGAGTCCTTCTCGCCATCACTCGCGAATTTCGCATTACTCGAAGAAAACACAATCGGCACACCGATCAATCGCGCGCGCGAGACGATATCGAGCGATCGACGATAACGTGTCAAGGACGTCCGGAGACGTCTGCCACCCGCCTCGAAGGTCACTCCGAAGGCCGAAAGGACCTTTTAGAGCGGCCGACGATCGGACGACTTAGAGATCCTATCTCCCTGACGACGCGTGCCGCGCGTTGGCCGACCTCCAAATTGCTCGCTTGATATCGGACCTGATATCGAGTATATACACCGAGTTCGCCGGGCCCCGCCACAAGTGGTTGTTCCCTGCCACCGGGGAAGCGGCACCTGATCCTGCGCCCCGCGAGTGAAAAAAGACGGAAAGAGTTTTACGGCGTTTTATGCGCGCGACAACAAAACAACGTTCTTTGTCCACGCGGAAATCTTAACAGTCGGTAAATCCGGATTTGCCGATCGGAAGGGGAGCCACCACCCACGATCAACGTGTTTTCATCGCTCTCCAATGGACAAACTCGACGGTGTCATCCTTCCAGGCAGGAAGACCCGCACACCCTCCTGACGGCGTGGCTCGCCGCCGACCAGCCCGTTGTTCATTTGATCGCCTCAGGAATCGATCTTTCGATGCAAGTAAACACAGACGGAGGAAGGAAGTGCGGGGTGGGCAAGAGGAGATTTTGCTCTCTGCCCAATTCAATTCAATTAAAACACGAGGGATTAAGCCGTATCGTTCGATCACGGGGTCTCCTTTCCTCCTGGAGCGATCCTGATTCGCTCGAATTCGATCGTCGATCTTCGGGACCACAGAAGAAATAAACACTTATTTCCGAGTTCGATAAATGTTTTCGGTGTCCTCGATTCAATATCGAGACGCGAGTATCCTCGCGCTTCTTCCTATAGCGACAGGGAAACACCTCGCGCACGAAGCGGAGTCGCGACGAGTGTACGCACGCACGCACGCTCGTCTCCTCAGCCGAGGGGTGCTCTCGCAAGGGCCAGTATTCTGTTTTCCAGCCTATCGACTGCCGTGCACCCCGTGTTATTCCGCAGGAACTAAAACCGGTCACAATGACGCCTGCGTCCTCGAACGCCGCGGCCCTCCCCCTCCCCCCTCCCCACCGCCACCACGTCCGATCGCGCATGACGTAGCAACAAGGGCGCGAATTTAGTGCGATGTTCGAGATGGAGAACGCTTGATATATACGCGAATACGCGGGCTCGCTGGCTATCTAGAGTAATGAGAGTATCTATTGCGTATTAAGTGAATCTCTAAGGATTAAATGAGTTACCGAAGCTAATCAGTACGAAGAAGAATATGTGTCGACCATTAGTTTAGTTATATATATATATGTGAAGTGAGTTTAAAATTAAAAATTCAGATCGAAGGACAAGTGCATTAGGAATAAAAAAGTCAAGTAAAATATGAAAATTACAAATGTATAAAATGTCGATAATAATACGTGGTATATACGACTATAATTAAAAGAGTTATGAAAAATTAGTTATAGAAAGTGAAATTTATAGAGATCATAAGACATAATTAATAATTTTATTTTTTCGAGTTCTTTTCTCAAAAAAATAACTTCAAAATAATTTTTATATAAAAATAATTTTTATATAATAAGATCATACTATTACTGAGAGATATCATTGATTCGTACTACCGTAATATGACATTTAGAGTAATCCAATTAAAAATCTCGAGAAAAGGATATAATTTTACTTATATCTTTTTTTTTATTAAATTCTAAAGAATTTCTTTATTATCACTTTTTATCGTTTAAATTGCCATAAGAACAAATATAATATTATATCGGCATAGCAACAATTTTTAGAATTTATAGAAAATATTATTATTAAATAATACAAAGTTATTTATAGTTATTTATAAGTTATTTATAATCTTGATTCAAATTCCCATCAAATGAGATGGGTCAATAATGTTGCATTAAAGTAACTTTGTTAATTACGTCGCAAAATTCAACATATGAAACATATCGCAAGAAATTTAAAAAAAAAAAGAATAAATTTACTCAGTGAAATAGAATAATTAATAGTTTAGACTAATAGAAATAAAATTTTCATCCATTTATAATATTTAACCAAAAGATGCAAGATACTTTATATTGATACTATTATCGCGCGATTTAATCAATATCAATATTATTAAATGAAAACAATTATTATTATTTCCAGAATAGATCTCAAAATATTTTGTAATCAAAATATTTTAAGCGTATTAAGAATTCATAAAATCGCTGTTTATATCTGCTGTCAAAAGTCAGATAAATTGATAGATGGAACTTTAATTGACACACACTCGTTATATGTTGTGATTTAAATTTAAGGTAATAATATGCGATTTTTTTCTGTGCGCTATAATTGTTATCGATGAACAGTATTTAATTTAATCACTCACCAGTCTGGGTACTGCTGTCAAATAAAGTACTGGACGTTTCAACTGTCATCGAGGCGAAAGTACCATCCGTGATTTGAGCTGAACTATCTCTACGTCCACGAGATCTCTGAACCTGCAAAATGCGCAGTACACACAAATATTTAACAAAAGCCATTAAAAATTTATGTCATTAATTATGATACGTTAAAAGATTGTTTTAACATTTTTAACATTCTAATAAAAACAAAAAGGCATTTCTTCGCTTATAGTTATATTAACTTCTTATGTTACATGAACTTACTGTTTTCTCTTTTTAATATATTTAGATTTTAAGGGAATGCATGTTAATATGATTTAAAAATTTTTAAGTTTTTTTTTTCATTCAGGCATGATTTTGTTTTATGAAATTTACACTTAAAACGAAGAATTAATTAATTAATCTATTGAACGCCCTTCAATTTACATTTCAATTTACAAATTTTAATAAAGGGCTCCAACCCAACGCATAAAGGTTTCTTTGCCAACCTGCGTGCTTTATTACTAAAAATTTTAATGATCTTTCAATGCATTCGATTTCAAAATTTATTCATGGATTTTATTGCTGCAAAACTTGTGAAGAGGGTGACAAACCGTGTCGTCGCTCTGAGAGCTCTGTCGCCTAAAATTACGGCATCGTATCATCTCCTCGGTGGTGCTTTGCCGTCGAAAACCGCGCGCTATCAGGATTTCCTCCGTAGTAGATTGCCGTCGTATTATTGGCGCAGGGTGGATACCACTGGGGGCACGAGCGCAAGGACTGGGCTCTCTGGATGAACATGAGGAACTGTCGGGTGATCTGAGCAATAATAGATAAAATTCAATATAAGACACACGTAATAATAATGATTTAATAGCTCTTAAATTCAAAATTTATTATAAGTCTAAATTATAACTATATACGTATCATAAATGAAAATAGTGCTCAAATTTTTTATTCTTTAAATAAATTACAAATTCCGCAAAGTGAGAATGAAAAAAAACATTCTAATTTCAAATTAATTCCATCACAACTTTCGATTCGTTTAAAAATAATTTGAAATGAAACAGATATCTCAAAAATGTTGTATGTACGTATGTAATACGTATGTGTTGTAAATGTGTAAAAATGATTTATAAAAGGTACTTATTAATGATAAAAGCTTAGATATATTAAAAATAGAATGGTTAAAACTAAATCATCTATAGTGTTGATAATTATTTCTATGATCAAAAGTTGAATGAACTGTATCGTATTTACACTATATATGTTTACAAAATCAATAAATTGCAGATACCTCGGTGGCCGACCAGCCATAGAGGTGGATTGTCTTCTTAATCGACCTTTTCTCTGTCTGATAGGGCTGATATCTCTCTTATCGACGTTCCTGTCAGGACTCAGATGACTTTTCGAGTCGCGACGTCGCAGGTAGGAAGCAGAATCCGGACTCAAGGAATCCCTCCGTGCTTTCCGACCTTTAAATATATCGATGAATTTAACAATCTCATTTTTGTATTCAATTATAAAATTAAAAAGTAATTAATGCTTTCGCCAATCATTATTAAAAAAAATATTTGGAAATATTTTTTCTCCAAGTTGTAAAGGATTTTATAGTTTAAAAAAAGATTTTGATACACTGCAGTTATCAAAAATTAGAAACTAATCACAATCACAAATTATAAAAGTGTGAAATAATAAGATGGATAAATATGATATATGATATGTAGAATTTTAGTTTCACATATTGGAAGTCATATTACATCAGCTGTAACAGCGACAGTTGGTACCTACCCCCGTCATCCCCAGGATCCGGTGATAAAGTTGGCTGGCTACCACGACGTCCCGCAGGCGGCATCGATTCATCAATTGCTGCCTGCTGGCGTGTCAGCCTCGACAATTTATTCGACGAGACTTCTCTATTCTTGAAATTACACTGTTGAGAAAGAATCGATGACCATTATAAAATCGACATACTATCCTCAAATTGAGATTGAAAAAATCTTCATTACTTAAGTAAGTTTATTTTATTATGTAATAAATAATAAAAAAAAAAAAAAATAAAAGACTCGATTTTTTTCTTAAGTATATAATTAAAACATATCATTATATCTCATTACTAAACTAAATTGCTTAATTGCTATCCTTTATCATAAAAAAGAACTCTATCCGATACCTGCCGATAGGTAGCCGATACCTGCGTGGTCGAGTCTCTTCGGGTGGAAAGTAACGGGTGCGTAGGAGTGCTGTTGACATTCGGGGAGCCGACCGGGCTGGAGCTACCGGAAGTCGAGGTGCCGGGAAGCGGAAGATTGCTTCCGGCCGTCGGTGAGATCGCCGGTGGCGTTACCGAGGACATAACGATAGTCGGTGGGTTCACGGATGTGTCTAGGATGGCACCTGATTTATTTTCAATCTTCGTATCGACGGTTAAAGTCGACAAAGTGGACATCACTGGCGAGGTGTTCATCGACACCGTCGTTGTTCTCAATTCGGTCATTGTCGTGGTGACAACGGGTGCTTTCCCATTGACGGTTAAGGTCGTTGCCGTCATCATTGTCTTTGCGTCAATCATGGTGGGACCTGTCTTAGCTTCGATACTACTCGATCTCTCGCTTTTCTCCGTAGAACTCCTCTGAGCCTCCAAATGTTCTCTGCGATGGAAAAGATTCATGAACGATACATGTACTATATTTTGCTGATATGTCAAAATGAAAATAAATGAGTCATATATGTTATCTCCAGGATTGGAATATAACATGTAACATGAGTATATTGCATGTAACGCCGTTATCATTACTTTTTTTTGGTGACGAATCGGTAGGAGCGTAATTTTTTTTATTAGTAATGATAACGATGCAATTATATATATTTTGCAATTATATATATTTTGATAATGAGTATAATCATCATTTATTGTTACTTTGTACATGTATAATTGTTAGGCTCAATACATATGGAGTAGTATAAACGAGTTCTAAAGGAAGATTTTCAAAATTTAGTGAAAAGTAAAATTATAATAATAATTCACGTAACAATAGCATGAGTAATATAAATAATAGCAGTAATGAGTTACTTTTTCTCAAAAGTAACTTTCTGATCATCTTCTGATCACAGATTGAACACCACCGTACTATTTAGCATTATATTAAATAGTATACATGACATGTACAACTTTTTATCAATGAACTAATAATTTAAAAATTGTCAACTGGAAATTGTTTAAATTTAACTAATTTTTTTTTTACTAAATATTTATTTAAGATTGAACCGACTGTTGTAATTTAACTAACCGAACCGCATTACTGGCCGCGCTGTCTGTGCTGGAAGCGCTCGGTCTTTGATCGTTTCTGTAATATTTCGTAGGCGTGATGCCACCTCCATCGATGGACTGTTGAGATTGTCTACGTCTATGGTGACGACAATTGTGCTTACGCTCGCCGGAACTTTGAGATTGCCCTGCGATCACCGAGTCCCTCCTGGACCTCGCGCTCTCGCCCGAACCACGGCGAGAGTATCTCGATTCGCCCGAGCCTGTATAATTA